CTTGTACGCCCCACGGCCGTGTGGGCTTCTCGGGCCTCCCTCTTTCCCAGCCGATCCTCAAGACCCGCCTCGAAAACACTTACAGGATGCGTCCGGATGAAGGCTGTAAGTTCAATGCCGGGCGGGTACAGCGGGTGCTGGAGGGGGCCCTGGCCAGTGCCCTGAGGACCACAGCCTACAGCCCCCAGGGCAGCGCCTCGCTAGCCCAGAGCCTGGCCAAGCTGCTGCAGAGCCAGGCGAAGGAGGTGGTACCACCCCGCTACAAGCTGGTCTGCCAGGGGCTGCTGGGCCAGCAGGGGCACTGGTGTCCAGTCGGGCACTCTGGGTCCCCGAGAGTTACAACTTTGCCTCTGCCACCTTCTCGAATGCCTCCCTCTTTGCTGTGGCCACAGTGCATGGAGTCTACTTTGAGTAGTGCCTGCCTCTCTCTCTCTCTCTCTCTCTGGCCCACGCAGTAGGGCTGCAGGGGGAGAGCAGCTGAAATAAAGAGGTTTGCTCCAGCTGTGGCTCATACCTGGAGTCTTCAGCCATGGTGCACCCAGGGAGCAAGGTATGGATGCACCTCAGTGCCCTGATGCTCACTACAGCCCCCAGCCTGGGCTCACACCCACACTGTAGCTTCCACTACCATAGTTTGCAAAAAGGGCCCACGCAGTAGGGCTGCAGGGGGAGAGCAGCTGAAATAAAGAGGTTTGCTCCAGCTGTGGCTCATACCTGGAGTCTTCAGCCATGGTGCACCCAGGGAGCAAGGTATGGATGCACCTCAGTGCCCTGATGCTCACTACAGCCCCCAGCCTGGGCTCACACCCACACTGTAGCTTCCACTACCATAGTTTGCAAAAAGACCCAAACTGCAACAAATACAACCCAAAAGGCTGCATTACCCTAGAACAGGGAGCAGCCCCAGCTGCTCCCAGGCAGATTGATTACACCAGAGTTGACAGATCACCTTCAAAGCAAGCTCATGGAGCAGATCCAGTCCCTCCTCTTTCCTGGCTTAATTCCCAGCTCATATCCCATCACAGCAGGTGTCATAGTGCAAGGACCTAGGCGACGCCCCTGGGCCACAGCCCCTGCAGAAGCATGAGAGGAGCTGGGTTTGCTCCAAGCACAGAGACAGTTGGGAATGAGAGTTTGGCAGCAGTTACGAGAAGCTAAGGCAGCTCCAGGGCTCCACAGGCATCAGCAAGAGCTAACTCCGCTCTTCGTGCCAGCCCCGGGAAGGGCAGTAGAGGTAGCACACGGGCTCCCCGCTCCCACCCTGCCTCCCTGCCCTTGTCCCCCAGCAACAGCCAGTGTCAAGAGGGGTCTTGCCTGGCAGGCAGAAGCAGCCCTAGAACAAGGATGGAGATGATGAAGCCCTCTTGTGACCTCAGCTCCAAGCAAGGCAGACACAGTTTGCCCTTACACAAACAGGTTTTTTTTATTGAGGTGAGTCAGGGCCAGGGGAGCTGCACATGGACAGACCAACAGGAAAATAAATAATCCATATAAATAAGATACATAAATAGTCCCACATGGCAGAGACTGCCTTGAAACAAGAAACCTCCCCAAGTCCCAGTGAGATGAGGGCTTCTCCAGGCAAGCCCTGGGATCCCATCTCCCCCACCCTTTATTAAACCTCAGGTTGTACCAGACATTTCACGATTTGGGAACAGATGGGGCACGGTTGGGCCCGGCACAGCCCCCTCTTTAGTGTAGCAGTTGTGGAGTGGCACACACCAGCCCACACAGCCCCTGGCAGGGCAGGCAGCGCCCTTCACCCCTGTCCACCCCTGGGAAGGGGTCTTCCCTACCCCACAGCAGCCAAGCCTTGAGGGCAAGGCTGTGCCAGTCCTCTCCAGGCCATGGAGAGGGTCTGTGCAACTGGTGCATCGCCTTGGACAGGACAGCCCGAAGCACCAGGCCACGAACAGGGCACAGCCAGCCCCAAACCTGGCTGCAGGGCACTCACCCACCACCTCCCTGTGCCACCCCAGTCCACTCCACCAAGACCAGCACAACCAGAGCAGGAGCTGCCAGCAGGAAGACAGCGATTGCCCAGAGGCAGGGAGCAGCAGGGATGTC